GGGCCCAGGTACCTTGTGGCCAGCGTAGTTGCACCGCACCTTCGTATCCTGATTGTTGTTGCTCATTGCCCTTACCAAGGCCACGGCGAATCCCCTGAAGAATTTTGGAGGCTCATTAGCAAGTACGTCTCAGACAGATTGGATGGAACTTACGCGGTGATCCTCACAGATTCGAACGGTCACGTCGGCAGCGTGCAGTCCTCCTCTATAGGTGGCTTGGCGCCAGAAGAAGAGAATGCGCCTGGCCGCGAACTGCATAGGTTCTTGGCGGATCACAGACTTTGGGCCCCCGCTACATTCGCGGACACGCACCAAGGTCCTAGTACCACATGGGTAGGCCCCTCTGGGGCGGCCTACCGGCTTGACTTCGTCTGCATTCCACTTGAATGGCAGCGAGGCCACATCTCTTCATGGGTGTGGGTTGATTTTGATGGGATGCAGATCAGTCGTGATCATCGACCAGCCCTCCTTGAGTGCTGCTTTGAGTACAGCCTTTCCACGCAGCCCTTCGTGCGGCGTCAGTGTTCTCCGCCTCTCCGCGTTCTTTCCCTGAGTGCCAGTGACCGTGAGGAATACTATCGGCAGCTCGGCGCGGCCGCCTTGCCAGACTGGCACCTCGATGTTGATGACCATTACGACGGGCTCCTTCGTGTGTGGCGGGCAAGTTGGTGTCAGGTACACACTGCAGATGCTCCGCCCAGACACAATCCGTACATCACTGAGGAGACCTTGGGCATCAGAGATAGACGCAAGGGTCTTCTTCGCTACATTGCGAAAGAGGAACTAGCTGCCAAGAGGGTCCATCTGCTGGCAGGCTTCGCGGCTTTCATTCTTCATTTGAGAGGCCAAGCTTTCCAGCCTGAACAGATGCGATACCTTTGGACAAGCTTGCGCAACATTCACGTCAGCATTGCGCGAGCTTTAGTCATGGTTCGCGTCACTGGCAAGCAGCTCAGGTCTGCTGTCAAAAGTGATCGCAAGCGCTACCTGGCAGAGCTTGCCAGCCGGGTTGGCCAATGCCAAAAACACGACACCAAGGCCCTCTTCGAGGCCGTTCGACAGGCTTTCCCCGACGCTAGATCGCGCAAGCACAAGAGACTGCGGCTGCTTCCCATGCTTTGTAAGGAAGACGGCTCTCCGGCACAGAGCAACACCGAGGCCGAGCGCATCTGGCGAGACCACTTTCGGCAGCAGGAGGCCGGCATAGAGGTCACGCCCTCTGGTTATGCTCAGGAAGCCACCGACTGGAGACGGGCTTCCACTCTTGTTCCAGCGTTTGATGTGTCCACTGTACCATCACGCACAGAGCTGGAGCAGGTTCTTCTGTCCCTTAGACCCCTCAAATCGCCAGGGCCCGATGGGGCTACGCCGGAGCTTTTCCAATGCCACCCCAGGCTCATGGCGCGGATGCTGATGCCGTTGATGGTGAAAGCGTCTCTGGCCACAGCTGAACCCTTTCTCTGGAAAGGGGGGACGTTGGTGACCCTTGCCAAGCGCGCGTCGCAGACGTTCCAGACCAATGACTTTCGTTCCATCCTTTTGGCGAGCGTGCCAGGAAAAATCTTCCACAAACTAGCCCGGCGCCGACTCTTGCCTGTACTGCAGCAACATCAGTCAGGACTACTTGCGGGGACGGCCGCTGGTATTGGACCTGACACAATATCCTTGGCTGTCCGTGCATCCATTGACATTGCCCGTCAGTCTGGTTGCAGTTGGATGACGCTGTTTTTTGACATCAAATCGGCTTTCTACCGGCTAGTGCGCCAAACCATCGTTCCTGGTGAGATGGCCGAGTACCAACTCGTTCGTCTACTTTCTGGGCTCGGAGCCACTCCAGAGGCACTTTCCGAGCTGCGCCAGCTCCTGGAACAGGCCGCAGCCATACCCCGATTTGGTGCCAATCCACATCTCGTCAAGTTAGTGGACAGTCTTCTCCAGGCTACATGGTTTACCATGACCTTGGCGCCGCAGTTGGTCATGACATTTCTTGGCAGCAGGCCAGGTGACTCTGCTGCTGACATTTTCTTTGCCTTCGGCCTTACGTGCTACCTGGACTCCACTGAAGCCCTTCTGCGTGAACGAGGTCTGTGCTGGCTGCCATCGCCCCCCCAGAAGACACTGCTCGCCGACGACTGGGCGGTTGCTCCGGATGTCACTACAGCAGCTTGGGCGGATGACGTTGTCAAGTTCCATGCCACGTCCTCGCCTCAGCAATTGCGCGATGACATGCAGGTGATGGCAAAAACGTTCCTGAATCGGGCGGCTTCGTGTGGGATGCGCTTTTCGCCGGGTAGGGACAAAACTGCGTTCCTGGTGGACAGACGAACACGTCAGTCTTGGACTGCGTTGGCGCTGCCCAACCATGCCTTGGACTACATTGACATCGACTTCGAGCTGGGTGGTGAGAGTTTCCGCATCCCCCTAGTCAGTGCCTATTGCCATCTAGGTGGAGTTGTCACGGAGTCCGGTAGCATTGATCAGGAGCTCTACGTTCGCAACGCTTCTGCGCGTGGAGTGTTGCGTTCCTTGGCTCACAAGCTGTTTGCCAACCCTGCCTATGACATTGGCACTCGGGTCGCCTTACTGAGGGCACTTGCAGTCAGCAAGCTCACGTATGGATCAGGCTGCTTAACGTTTAGTGCTTCTCAGCACAAGCGACGCTGGCACGCGAATTACGTGCATCTGTGGAGGAGCCTTTTCCGTCTTGATCGACCTGAACATGGAAAGCCGCATTCTTATGAGGTTCTGTTGGTAGCTGGTTGTCCGCCGCCGCATCTTTCACTTGCCTTGGCGCGCTCCAGTCTGCTTCGCCGGATCATCTGTCATGGGCCGCGTGCTGTACGTTACCTTCTGCAGGTGCAATGGGAATTACATGGGAAGCGATCTTGGCTTCATCAATTTGTAGGCGACGTTCGCAATGTTGCCGAATATGTCTCCTCCGCCAAGGTCCTAATGCAGTCTGCGGACCCCATCCCAATGCTTGTGGAACAAGTGCAGTCGCAGCCATCTTGGTGGACGCTGCAGATCAAGAAGGCCGTTCAAGGTTTCCATCAAGACCTGCAGCGGTGGCAACAGACACCTTCGCGTCATGGGCTGCTGACTTCGCCGCGCTTGGACTTCTCTTGTCATATCTGCTGTGCTTCCTTCGCCCTTCGCAAACACCTTGGAGCTCACATGGCGAGGACGCACAGAATAGTGGCACTCCCCAGGCACTACACGCATGTTCCTTGGTGCCCCTCTTGCATGACCATGTCTCACTCCATCAGCCGCGCGCAGAACCACTTCAAGAAGCATCCGGAGTGTCTGCAAGCAGTGGCTGCATTGATCCCTCCTCTCTCCATGGACGAGATCCACGCTACAGAACGTGCCGACACCAACCAGGCTTCCCAGTTCCGCATGGGACACTGGCACCGACTACAGCACATGCCCAAAGCTACGAAAGTCTTTGGACCTCAGGCTCTAAATGCAGATGAGCGTGCTGAGTGGGTTTCTTCGGACTCCGACCTTGATGTTTGGACACATTTGTTCAGACCTGAGCCTGAAGATGTCACGTGGGTAGCTGCTTACCTTGATAGCGTAGGGACTCGCGAACCTGCTAGACAACAAGCAGTTTCGTTTTGGGAAGCACGCCCAGCCGGGCCTGCTGTCATTTCTCTGGAGACGGAGGGCCCCAGTGAATTTGCTGCATGAATTTTGGGACAAGCTGCGAAAGCAGCCTGATCAGTCCGCGTGAAGTGAAGTTCATCGTCTGGTTGACTAGTGACCTCGATGTTTGAAGGGTTTTGAAAATTAGTTTGGACCCAGGTTTGTGCGTGATCTTCCCCTTCAGCGAGCCGAAAACCCTAGCCCAACTAAACCCTAGACTTTGCACCAATGCCGAAGTCGTGTAAGAAAACGTGCGATGTCTGCGAACCTCCACGTGGAATCCTAAAGCCTAGACCTGCGCTTCGGGGATGCCCTGATCACCCAAACCGTGGTCAGCCCTTCATGCTGTTAAACCCTGCCTACTTGGGTGGGGCGGGGCAGCAGGAGAAAAGTGTCAAGCAAAAGCTGTTGCAGTGCTTCAAAAGGATTTGTTTGGTGAGCTTTGGTGTTTATAGGGCCTTTCGGGTGTTGGCCGCGAAGTTGAGCGATTTGTTGGCTTTGACCACCTCAGGAGGCAAGCGGGCAAGCCACAAACGTCTTTGGCACAACTGCTGCTCGGATGCAGGTGTACAGCAGCAGTGGGAGTCTTGCGATCGTTCTTCTAGACCTCACCTGTAGGTCTTCAGCAGGTCACCTACAGGCTTTTCAAAGGGTCGTGAGCTTGGCGACGCAGGGCTGCATGGCAGATTAGGGGCCTTGGCTCTGTGAATCTCTTAAGGCCCTGAAAGGCTCGGAGCCTTATAAGACCTAAGCCTGGCCCACAAATTCCCCAAATCCTCATGAGCCCTAAGAAACCCAACTAAGTCCTCTGAAGCCCAAACCCCTATGAAGTTCAAGGGGCCACTGCACCCAAAGGGTCCACGTACCTCTACAGCATCTACTTGGGCCTCAAGGGGGTTCCCGAATACAGTAGCCTCAGGCCCCACGTATATACTACATGGGTACCTGGACCCCTAGGGCAGATAACTCCAAGGCTGGAAATGGTGTGGGAAAGGAAGTTGCAGGGGCAGACGGTGGATCCGAGCAAGCCGTGGACGAACTGCGAACTCCTCTACAGGACCAGCACGGGTAGTGATTCTTACGGGGGGAAGGGGGCTGTCAGGCTTATGCTCAGGGTTCGAGATGGCGCTGATGTTTCGGTGCTTTTTGGGGTCTTTTGTTTGCCGCCTGGGCTTCGGGGGCCTCACTAGAGCTGTGGGGGCTGGGATGTATAGATGTCTCAGTCTAGTCTAGTGCCAAGACAGCTCATGTTTATGTTGGAGTTTTAGGGCCTACCGGCACCGCTTGCCTGCAGGCGGGGTGAAGCCCTTCTCTGCACCTTTTCGGACACCGTGAAGAGTGCCCAGAAGCAGCACATGAAGGCTTCGCATATCAAGGCACGTGACCGGTTTTGGGGGGGGGGTAAAGGGCCTCGTGACTTCGGGTTGAAAGTGTTGAAGGGGCGTTACAGGGGGGGATTCAAGCCTAGGAGGCCTGTGATCCGTAGCACTTCTTCATATGCAACGTCCTACTTGGGTGAAGCCTGAAATGCTGCACCCGAGACCCTAAAGCCACGAACACAAGGGCTTACAGGGGTCTGCCCTGAAATTCCGCAGCTCCCCAAACCCTGAATCTGAACTCGTATATATATATATATATGAGCATATATGTGTGGTAGTTTTTCTCTTGCGCTGTACACATCTTCTTCATGTTCCCCCTGACTGACCTCAGGAGCAGCTGGCCAAGGTCTCAGAGGATTGGTGCCACCGGACGCTGGCCGCCGCCGTCGGCGCGGACTGTGCCCCCTGGAGGAGGATGATGGGTGTAGGGTTTAGGGTTTAGGGTTTAGGGTTTACTTTGGGGAGCGGCCGTTTGGGGTGAAGAATAGGGGAAAGAAAGGGTTACAACCCTCCACTTGAAAGGCTCACATGTGTTTCAAAGTCCGAAGCAGAGATCCTAAAGTCCTAAGCCTGATGTGGCTACAGGCTTGAGGATGGGCCTGACTTTCGAGGTCGAGTTGTATAGTCTTGTGCTAGATAGAGCCCTAGATAAGGGGCTCGTTTCTGGGGAGTCTGAAGAGCTTTGGGTGGCTCTGGTGAGTTTGGAGTTAGAAGCAACTCGGGGATTGACATGTTTCCGGGCTTTAGGGGCATAAGGCTTGAAGGGGCTTCGGGAGTTCCCTGGGGTTCAAAAGCGACTGGTTAGGTCACGTACAAGCTTCTCAGAGACATGGCAGCCGATGCGCAGAGCATTTTCGTTGCCAAGGTCCAGCAGTTCGGAGAATGGGAGGTTGTCCTACTAAGGTTCAAAGGGACCCTGAGAAGGGAACCCTTGTCAACGCTCTCCTGGCTCTCCAAGACAGGGACCTTATTGAGAGGGTCTGTATCCCCAGGGGTCCCCCGAATCCTATCCCCTAGGTTGGGAATGTAAGGTCGAAAGTCTTAGAGCGCTTGCTGGACTGAAACTACATGTTCTGGGTTGTGGATTGGCTCTTACAGGTTCACTTTGGTTGCATCAGTGCCGCAAGTATGCAAGCGCATTCACAACGACATCTGAACCCTAAATCCTTTCATGAACAGGCAGATACTCGTCACATGGACAACACCCTGACCATGCAAATGCCCCAAACCCCAAAACCCCTGAACCCATAACAGTCCCTCAGCCCCCAACACGTGTAAAAACCTGAAAGCCCTAAAGGCCCTAATTAACCCAATTAAAGGCCCTAATAACCCTAGTTAACCCAATTAAAGGTCCCAAAAAAAGGCCCTTACTGAACCCATTTAACACAACTAAACCCTAAACCCTAAACCCTTAAAACCCCCACCAAAAGGCCCCAAAAGGCCCCAAATGCCCCGGAAAGCCTTGGGAAGGCGCGGGAGGCCGCCTGTACGGACAGCTGCACCACGGCGGCCTTTCTCCGCCAAGCGGAGCCGGAAGTCAGAGAGGCATTTTGGGGTTCAGGGTTTGGGGTTTGGGGTTTGGGGTTTGGGGTTTAGGGCATGGGCGTTTAGGGTTTAGGGTTAAGTTTGGGGTTTGGGGTGTGGGGTTTAGGGTTCGTTTGTGCTTATAAGTTAGACGTGTGGCAGTAGGTGGAAGGCTCAGGGGCTTTGTTGTTTCAGGGTGGTTCAGAGCTGAAACGGGGTGTGTTGTAGCTTCAGGGTGTTCGGCCGGGGCCGGGGGGGGGGGGGGGGAGGAGGCATGGAATGGGTGTCGGGGGGGGTGAGGCGTTCAGGGTGCTTTGATGCTTGCAGGGTTTGGTTTAAGACTTGGGGTTGAGGGTTTGTAGGGCTGAAGTTCAAGAGCTTCACAGTGTCTAAGGCTGAGTGAAGTTGAGTGCCTCATATGTCTAAACCCAAGCCAACATGACCGGAGGGTGTTGG